GAAATGGTTTTGAACTCCCAATTTAGTTAACAAATCTCTCCCCAGTAGCGGGTGGGGGCAATTCGGAATCACCATAAAGGAATGTTGCACTTTCCCATTGCTCAGATTTATTGTCCTTTGGGTGGTCCATTTATATGTCTTTATGCCTGTCACCCCATGTACCCAAGAGGTTTTCTTTGATATTTTTCCTAAGGGGTTTAGTAGCACTGAATGTTCGGCTCCTGAGTCTACCATGAATTCAGTCGGTTTCCCCTCCACTCTGAGAGTTACCCTAGGCTCAGGGAGGGGTTCTGAGCCCCGTCTCCCCAGTCACTCTCGTTCCCACCTGGACTCAGGACGGGGACTGCTTTCCTTGGGCACCTCTTAGGACAGTTTCTGGCCCAATGGCCCTTTTCTTTACAGTAAGCACATTGGTCTTTGTCTAAGTCTCTTTTCTTGGTTGTTGAGAATTGTCTTTATCCTGACCTTCTGCTAATTTTTTTAGCTTTTCTTTTCTCTGCCTAGGTTCTCCTACAGTAGCCACTGCTAACACACGTGCCAGTCTGCGGTTTTGGCAGTCTTCGGATGGTTCTCTATTATTATAGACTCTTTCTGCTATTACTACTAGATCTTGCACACTCTTTTCCCCTAGCCTTTCTATTCTTTGAAGTTTTCTTTTGATGTCCGGTGCAGCCTGGTTTATGAAAGCCATAACTATTGCTGCCCTAGATTCAGGGGCCTCTGGATCCATGGGTGTAAATCTATGCAAGGCCTCTTGAATTCTTTCTAGGAAAGCTGATGGGCTCTCTTCTTTACCTTGTTGTACACTGCCTACCTTAGATAAATTAGTAGGCCTCTTGGCAGCCGCACAGAGACCCCCCAATAGAGTCTGGCAGTAGACCCGGAGCCGCTTCTTACTTTTGCCATGTTGTAATCCCAATCAGGCCTGGATAAGGGAAAATCTTGGTTAATAAAGTCAGGATTAATGGTGGGTTCCCCATCATCTCCAGGCACCAGTTTTCTGGATTCCATCAGGATTTTCTCTCTCTCTCTGCTGTGGTAAAGAGCACACAAAGCAGCTGCTGACAATCATCCCCTGTAGGCTTATGAGTGAAAAACACAGTTTCTATTAGTTCAACTAGATCTTTAGGGTTGTCAGAAAATTTAGCATGTTGTGTGCACCAGTTGTAAAGATCACTGGTGGCGAAGGGCCAGTAATGCATATCCTGATTACCATCAGCGTCCGCTGCGACTCTCAGCAGGGCCAGGCGGGGAGGCAGCCCGCCTCTGGTGTTCTGTGCAGGTCCCCCTGAGGGGGGTAGATCCACAATAACAGCTTGAGCGTCCTCCTTGGAAACAGCATTCGGGTCAGGGTTTGGATTAGGGTTAGGGTGAGGAGCAGGAGGAGCATAGTAAGGAGGGGGAGGAGGGAAAATTAGTTCCAGGTCTGTTTCTCCCTGTAAAGGCAAAGGAGGGTAAATAGGGGCAGTTGGTTTGGTAGTTGGTGCTCTCAGTGGCTTTTTTCCAGCCTTTGAGACAAGTATGTGGGCTGTCCTCGGAGGGGAATGCAGAAATGACCACAGCCATGGAGGTGGATTCAAGACCAAGTCCTCCGAAACAACAATGTAAGGAACTTGGTCCAGGTGGCTCTGAAAAACAATCTTTTTAACTTTTTGCACGGTCTCCAAATCTAGAGTTCCCCCTAATGGCCAACCCGCACCAAAACCTGGCCATTCAGAATCACTTAATGTCTGATAGTTTCCTTTCTTAATTTCCACTGATAGATCATGTGCCCTAGCTTTCACATCTTTAAAATGTTCAATTATCAAGGAAAGGGGCATAGTCAGGGACTGTCCCATTTTATTAACGTCCATCACAATCAACACAAACAAAAATAAGGAGACACACAATCACAAAGGACACCAAAAGACACTAAATGGATCCAAAACAAAACCAAGGCGGTGGTGTATGTGCCGGCATGGGAGTGACCCACTTCAGATTCAGGAGCAGAAAACCTGCTGCTCTCGGGTTCAGGACTTTGCTCAGATTCAGGAGCGGGAGTATTCCTCCCCACTCAGTTTCAGGAGCGAAGTCAAATTCAGAAGGATCAGAAACGTCTTTCAGGACCCCATATAGGCACATCTGCCCATGACCCTCAGCCAGCTCAGAAAAGGCCCACGGGTTTCAGATATCAGAACATCAACAAAATGAAACAAAAAGAAAAAGACACTCACATGTGCACATTCTGCAGGCCGATCTCCTCTGGAGGGAGTCCTTGGGTGTTTGGGGATCCCGGACGAGCCCCCAAATGTTGTACCCAGATCGCAAAGTCCCCAAAGACCACCAAGGAGTCAAGTCCGATGCAATTACATGAGGAGTTTATTGCAAGCTCGAGCCTGGACCTCCAGTGTCACCGACACAGCTGCTACAAACTGGAAGCCCCTACCCACTTATTTAGTCTAATTTTATAGGGTTATGGTGGCTTGAAATTCACTCTATCCTATTGGCTTCTTTTCTAATATTCTAAATGTATTGGATGTTGCCGGGGCTCTTGCAAAAGAGGGAAGATTACCTTAGGCTGGGGAGGGGCTAGTTCAAGGAGAGGTCAGTGCTCTGAGGAATGTGGTGTGCTTCTCTTATTTATATAGAATCTCCTGTTGTTCTTCTTTGAGGTTGGAGTGGCTTTTCTCCCATCTGCCTGTCTCTGCCCTTATTGCAACCAAACAAACTAAGCAAATTCCTGCTGCTTGGGTTCATCGGGGATCAGGCCTGACACCAGATGGCTTTCTAGATTAAAATGGAGTTACTTTGGCTAAGTGTGTGTGGGGGGTCTTGAAACCAGACTTTTATGGTCGTACAAGCCAAAACCCCGGGCCCTCATGTTTGTGTTTCCAGAATATGATGTTGGGTTGATGCCTCTGTGATGCTAGCAGCTGTCAGCGATCCTCATCTGAGTCATTTTGTTTTTCATTGGAAGGGATATGAAAAGATCACTCCAGTTACAGAGAAATCTGTGTGTGTGTGTGTGTGTGTGTGTGTGTGTGTGTGTGTGTGTGTGTGCAGGGTTGTGATGACTTTGTGGAACACTTGCGCATTTGCCAGGTGCCTGGTGCACAGTGACACACTGTTGTTGCTGTTAGAACTCTGTGTGGGGGACCCAAGTCCTGAGCTTATAGCCATTTTCTGGCCCAGGCTGTCTCTTCCTCCTCCTCTGGGCCTGGAGGGGAAGTCAGCAGTGCCCAGGATCTGAGGGACATGTTCTGGAATGCAGCAGCCATCTGTGTGCCCCTGGTGGGGCTCCTCCAAGGAAGGAAGGCTGGCACCCCACTCATGCGGTGCTTGCACCAGACTGTAAGTGCCTGATCCCAGCACTGTGCCTCCTGCATGGTCTGGGGCTCCTGGGTCTGGCTTGGTCCTGGCTTTGGAGCTATGCATGAGCCTCCTCCTATAGGAAGTCTTCCCTGACTGCAGCCTTCCAGTTGCTCTGCCTGGCCCTTGCTTCTCTAATCTGGAACTTGTATCTCTGCACTGAGTCAGCGAGGGCACTGCTGCTGCCTCCCTGTCATCCCTGAGGTACAGCCCAGCAGCCCCTCTGCAGTAGATGCTCCCCCACTTTGCTTACACAATAACCCAAGGACAAGCACTGTCTCCTCATTATCTAAGCACTGGACGCCACTCCTGAAGGTCAGGATGTCGCACACCCTGTGTTCCCGGCAGCCCCGTCTCCATCGACTCCCAGACCCCACCAACTCCACTCACTTCAGTGGTTCTCCCTGTCTGAGCTCTGCACCCTCCTCGCCTCCCTCTGATTCCCTCTTCCCGACCTCCGCCTCCATCCACAACCACCTGCTGTCGAGACCTCCTCAAGTTAGTCTCCTCACTGAAGCGTGCTGGTTTGGATGGGGTGCGTCAGTCCATCCAGATGCTACTGATTTTAAGACTGGCTGCGCCTCGGGGTTTAGCCAGAGGAAGTGCCAGTCAGGCTGGATCACAAGACACTTGAATTCTGAAAAAATGCAACGTGAAACAACATGTCAAATCCAAATAACATGGTCCTCCTACAAAAACACCAGGAGGGCCGGGGATTTAGCTCAGTGGTTCTGCCACCTGCCTTACAAGCCCAAGGACTGGAGTTTGATCCCCAGTACAAAAACAAAAAACAAAAAACACTGGGAAACATAAAAGCAGACACAGGAAACAAAATCACCTTTATAATCCCAACCCCCAGAAGGGAGCTTTGCAGACATTTTGATAAATTTTTTTTTTTTTTTTGTACCGAGGATCGAACTCAATGCCAAGAATGAGAGCCCTTGCTCTTCTACCCATGAGCCACCTGGCCTTGGCCAGCCCTGGGGAGCAACAGACCCAGAGGTCGTGCTGTTGTCAAGCTGAGGGGAGACTGAGGCCAGGAGGAGCCCAGTCCCTGGCCAAGATCGCCTGGCCAAGGCAGGCTGATTGCCTGCTGCCTGTCAGGCCCTGTGGGAGAGCCGGCCCGGAAGGGCCTCTGGGAAGGGAGTGGTGGGCTGGAGCCAAGTCCCCCGAGCCCCCCAGGCCTGTGAGTGCGTCCTCTCAGTGAGTACGCAGCCTGGGGTCACAGGCCTGTGTCTCACTGTGTTTTCTTGGGTGTCACTACATCCCTCCGCCCCAAACCCCTCAATTTTCTCATCTGTAAAACAGATGACCTAGGCCCAGCTAGGTCATTCTGAAGTTAAATGACAGGCCTGAAGAGGTCCCCTGTTAGTGACCTCCACCCCCCTTGCTTCCCCCTCACCTTTCGTGGGAACCCTCCATATCTAGGCCTGGAGACTCCACCCACAGGTGAGAAGTAGGGCTTAGGCTGGGCGGAGCCTTCCGGTGAGGGGCCAGGCCAGAAAAGCAGGCTGTGGCCTCCCACCCGCCTGCTGGGATCTCCCCTCCTCTCTCTTCCCTGAAGTAGCAGGGTGTGGCTGTGTCCTGAAGGCAGCTCTCTGGCACCAGCAGTCACCCCAGCCAACTCTGACCTTCATTCGCTCTGCCCCCAGCTCACCATGGCCAGACGCCTGCAGGCCCGCAGACTGGAGGGCACGGAGCACAACCCCTGGTGAGTGATGGGCCTGGAGGGGCGTGGGTGTTCCTCCAGGCTTGGGCCAACTGGGACTCTGGTGTCCAGGAGAGGGAAGACCTCAGGGTGCGGGCTTGGTCTCCAGTCTGAGCTTTTCATCTGCTTGGTCATGGGACAAACTGTTGTTCCGAGCCTCAGCGCCTGGCTCTCCTTGGAGATGCTTAGAAACCCCTGAAGGAGTTGGCAGGAAGGAGGCATGGCTGGTTGCACTAGCCTTTGGCCTGGGCCCCTGGGGCCACACCAGACCCTGTGCCTCAGTGGGTTCCAGGCACCTGTGGTTTAGCTGGCTACAGATCAAAAATATATTTTAATGGCTGGGGATTTAGCTCAGTGGCTCTGCCACCTGCCTCGCAAGCACAAGGACCTGAGTTCGATCCCCGGTACAAAAAAATCACCTCTATACTCAACGTATACAAGCCTGTTTTCTTCTTGTCATTATTTTGTAAACAACATTGCCTCTCAATATGTTAGGTGTCAGGAGTAATCTAGAGGTGATCTAAAGTATCATGTAGGAGGCTGGGCATGGTGGCCCACACCTGTCATCCCAGCACAGGAGGCTGAGGCAGGAGGATCACCTCGAGTTTGAGGCCAGCCTGGGCTACATAGTGAGCTCAAGGCCAGCCTGAACTACATAGCGAGACCCTGTCTCAAAAAACAAAAATTAATTAAAAATTTTTAAAAGAATAAAACGGAAGATATGGAAACTGCTGAGGATCTGGCTCAGCAGCAGAACACTTGCTGAGCAGGTGAGGCCCTAGGTTCATGCCTCAGTACCACAATTTATTTATTTATTTGATTTTTTTTTTTTTTGGCACCAGGGATCAAACTCAGGCCCTGGTACTTGCGAGGCAGGTGGTGGAACCACTGAGCCAAATCCCCAGCCCCTCAGTACCACAATTTTTTAAAAAAATTTGGGGCTTGTATCTTTACAAAAACATGGGACCTGTGGAGTGTGGTAGTGCATAAATGCAATCTGTATAAGTTGGGAAGCTGAGGCGAGAGGATCTCCAGTTGGAAGCCAGCCTGGGAAATTTAATGAGACCTTGTCTCATAAAAGTGCTGGCGGGGCGCGGGGGGATTTAGCTCAGTGATTCTGCCGCCTGCCTTGCAAGTGCAAGGACCCGACTTAGATCCCTGGTACCAAAAAATTAAAATAAAAAATAAAAGTGCTGGGGATACAGGTAGGTCAGTGGCAAAGCTCTTGCCCAGCATACACAAAGCCCAGGGTTCAATCCCCCACAGTACCAAAAAGAGAAAACAAGTAGGACTGGTTTTTCCTTCACAGTGGCTTCTTTATAGCATCTTGTGTTTTACAATGAACTTGTACCGCTGCCTGCTGTCTCCTTGGATGCTGCACCCACTGCTGGGAACGGGGAGCCAGGCCCACAGGGTCCCTGTTAGGCTTACGGCTGAACCCCACATCACTGTCCCCCACTTCAGATCCAGATGCATACACAAGCTGTGCTTCGTGGCTGTGAGGCCGGCAGATGGGATTATAATGGGGCATGGGGTCCACGTGAGGTCATTTAGGGGGCCCTTTTGCAGATTCTGTCCATTAGTTGATCAAACATCCTGTTCTTTTGGTTCTTTTTTGGTTTTTGAGATCTGGTCTTGCTATGTAGTCCAGGCCGGCCTCCAATTCTTGGCAATCCTCCTGCCTCAGCCTTCTGAGTGCTGGGATGACAGGCGTGCGCCACCACACCCAGTACAACATCATGTTCTCTTTTTTTTTTTTTTTTTT